AATACAAGACAGCCCAGTGGTTGAGGCGCAAAGCAGCCGATTGGAATGTGCACGGTTCGAACTCCATCGCAGGCTATTGACTGCCCCCGTGTAGGCTTGGGAATACCTCGCCCTTCTTGCTTCCTTTGGGCTACAGTGCACCAAAATGAGAGCCACAGCAGAACGGTTTTTCTCTCATTTCTGGTCTCATATTTGGTCACCCCAAAGGTGGTTTACTGCACATCTATTAGTGCATGAAGACGAAAAAATAAGCATACGATTTGATGAGTTTTTTTCACATCGTTGACTTAGTTTTCTTTTCACTGGATAGTTCAGAATGAATCCGGTGTTTATCACACAGGCCTGACGTTTACCACGGTCAGCCTGTGCTGGAACGTCACTCACAACAGTTGTTCTGGTTGCTGTTTTATTTTGCTTATAGATTCTACTAGTGGCTGTCCAAATCTTCGCAAACCATCCCGCCAGAAATTTGCGAAAAATTTCCGGGTTTGTTTGGTGTTAACCACTCTAGATACACCAGCTTGTCTGACATAACGTCCAAGCTTATTAAGTTGGTAAGCTCAGAAAAAGTCATCTAAGAAATACGTCGAAGTGTTAATGGTTCTGGTGAGGTAATTATTTGTAGTTCTACAGTCACATGATCTACAACTAGGATACGCATCTTGCTCCGCTAATAGCTTTCCCTTCGCTTGATCGACATTCCATCGAACCCAACGGATTTCCGCTATTGACTGATGAGCTGTCAGTTGGTCGATTTTATTGGTTTCTCGCACACAGTTTTTATCGATGCTGCACTGGGTAATAGATCCAGTATAGAACAGACGTTTCAGCATCTTTGCTTTGCGTTATAGCAAACACAACTGGTCATAAGACAATCACAACTCGCTCAAATACTTTAAACTTCGGTTCGTTCAAACCACATTCGAGATCAAACTGTGAGATTGAATTTTGATGAACTTGCCATTTCAATATTCTCGAATCTTTAGCTATCTAGGATGCTGCAGTGCTTCTATTTAAACTATGCTGAGAATGAACTGCCCTGTTGGATGTGGCGAATGCAGTAATAGTATCTGTCGCTTTCAAACGTGCCCAGTTCTACCCTCCATGCTGTGATCGCTCAGGGGACCATATCTCCCCGAAAAAGAAATTGTAACTCCGTGAAAATTTTCCATCGGCATCTTTCCGCGAAAAATAAACCATTCAGGAGTGTTGCTTTCACCAAGAGCACGCGTTCACATGGAAACGATCCATGCCATTGATCGAGGCTAATTGGCTAGTTCGCTATCACATCGAACTGTTTTGGCACTACCAAGCTCGGCGAACAGACCACCAACCAAGCAGCGCATCCAAACCACCTGTATTCCACATTGCCTGTTTTGGCACAATCAAAGCTAGTACGTAAGAGCGCCAAACCACCGAGCTGAATTTAACCTGGAAAGCAAGCGTAAGCTTTCCACACAAATCCGTTGGTCTGAACCTATAAAAATGAAAATTTGGAGTGAAGTTGATACATGAGACTGAAACTAACAATCAACGGTTATGTAAACCGTAATCACTACCACTGTTCTCGCTGCTCCATCATAATACAGCCTCGTGTTTTAGACTTCGCATCTGAATTCAGCCACGTGACACCGGAACCAAGTGTTGGTTGTGAGGTTTATAACTTCCAACGGTTCAGTACGATATACGAAAATGTTTTATTTGAGGAAATGAGGTAGTACTGAATTACTGGTCGTCCATTACAACAGAGGCGCGCTATTCCACCGCAACCGTCGCACAAACGTCATTTAAAAACAACTGTATTATCTCTGTTCTAGCATAAACTCTGTGTAACCTGCCCCATGAGAATACTCCCCATTCAGTGAAGCATATCGGTTTCTCTAGAGAGAGAAGACCACCATAGGTTAGTGAGTGATAAGGAATTCGGTTCATAGTGTGCCGTTCATTTTTTCGGTTGCACAGTCACGGGTCGTATTGAAGTTCATAAATGTACTTCCTGCCAAGATGAGAATTCGGTGATGGACTACTCGATAGGCGAGTACTTGGAGAACTTTCTCAGCTAGTCAACTGCAGAATCAGCAACTTTATTCTCCAATACATGATTCGAACATATTATGATAAGGTTTCTGGGTCATGGTTCTTACGTGCATTGCTGTTCTATCAGCCATGAAAATATGTGGCTTATTAATTTCAAAATCTCAGTTATCCATCTCTTGCCTGAGTCAGCTTTCTTTAGGCATAATTGCCCCTGTACTCTCAGCTTCAAACAAGCAAAATGTAGTGATGAACGAATGTTTATTGAAGGACCGGTCACTTGCAGGATATGTCATCGCCGAAGGACAAATTACTAAGTCTCATAGCGCTTCCATGGATGTGACATGAATGACTGTTCCTGATCACTCTTTCAAAGCGATTCAGCATTGAGCCGTGATCAAACGACCTGAATTCCTAAATGTCAAGTTGTTTATGACCGTACGGCCTTTAATGTAGCTTATCAAAACTTTATTAATTGTACTCACGCAAGGTGGAGTACCGCGCATCAAGTGAAAACAACCTCAACAAATTGACAATAATCAAACTGCATTTAGAAAGTAGATGAGAGTCGACAAATTAAGATCTTAGTAAACCAGCACCTATTTTTAGCTAGGGATAATTGATTACGTCATATCAAATGCTCAGTAATCTTGCTGAAAGCTATCAACTAGTAATCAGTTAGCAATTTTGTGACGAACGGCGTGTGAATTTTAAGTGCATGACTTCGAGGGAAAGCATCTACGTTCGGTAGATCATTTATTAAATATGCTAATGGTCGGTGGTTCGAATCCACCCTCAGACAATTCCAGATATAGTTGTAATTCTTACTTCATTCAAAACCCTCCAACCTCAGTACAGATTCTGTATGTCTGATGTTATCTCACACTTGCGCACAAATATCTATTTCCAATTTCAGATGAACCGAAACGGAAAACGTTTTGCTCTTCGGGTAGTCTCAGATTGGTCGATAATTGTGCTACGTAAGCAATTCGTTTCAAATGTCAACTTTTTCAACGTTTCCGATCTTTCCTTCATCAAATATGTGCAGTCCAGTTAGCCTTCTCCCTCTCAATGCGGATACATCCGAAGCTGTCTGGATTTTTCTGTAATGACAACTCAATCAGATACCCCTATTACGAAGACTCCGTATCTGCGAAAATTCTACTCATCTACGCTTATCTTCTACCAACTCTAGTGGTTAGATTCTTCTTGTGCATGTTTCGGCATATTTTGATCATCCAATCAGGTTGCGGTTCTTGAGTTCATAATAGCGCTCTACCGAAGTTATGTGGAGAGGACAAAAGATGCTTGGAAAACGGTACGTGTTGTCATTTGTGAAACGCTGAAACAATTTGTTTAGATGGCAGTGTGGGTCTACAACCTTGTCACAATTTATCTGATTTCCCTCGGTCTGACAAGCATCTTGACTTCAGTGTTCAAAATCGCTGTTGGACGTCCCCGGCCACATTTTCTCGATGTATGCCAACCCAACATCACACTGGTCAATTGTACGGGATTCATAAATGAGTACAGTTGCCAGGGCACGCGTACAAGAGCACTACACGACATGAAGTGAGTTGCATGAAGTGTACTTGGAGGTTCCTTGGGAATCCTCTTGACATTCCACATATACACCAATGGTTGTGAAACCGATCCGATGCTACCTTGTTAGAGCCTGGATTGTAAGCTGAAACGGTGGAAGAATTTTTCGAGGGTGCAATGGACTTCAAAATCTGGTTTGTTACTTTTGTCCCCGGAATGTTGCAGACTAATTCACCCATAAGTTGTTAGCTTCCCTTAATGGTAGCTCCGTTTGTCAAAATATTCCTTCGAAACTTAGCTGGTTTGTTTATGTTATACTGTAACCCCACTTTCGCGAGAGACTTTTCGAGGAGGGTCATTCCTTCTATTAAGAAACCGCTCCACGGTAGCACTCCACGTCAGACACCTCTAAGTTAAGGTCAGCTCCTAATTTTTCGGAGTGTAAAGCGGTAGATTGCCAAACTAGAAACATGTCGTGTCTTTCGTTACGGAAGACTCGGGAATGGTATTTCCGATTCAAGCTGATCACGGCCAAAGAAACGACAGTTTCGGTGTCAAAGCCTCGTGCGTAAAAAGTGAATGAACTTGGCGATGAAAAGTGATGCGGGAATGATCGGAAATTGTTTGGAAATATCTTACTCGGTTTAACTGCGCATAATGGCTTGGCATTCGGAACTGGTCTTCTGTGAACTTCGAAGGCTTAATGTTACTCTGGGAATGAAGACTGTTTATTTCCACCGTCCTGTAAACGCTGGTATCACGTAAAGATGCAGCAAAATCACCGTGGCCCCTTGAGACCGATTAGTAGCCCGCACACTTTACCTGCAACCTAGATGTGGGACAAAACTTTATAACTGATTTTAGGCCCCTCTTTAAATCAAATAACGCTGTTGTGAACCAGTGTTGTGAATTACTTGGATGCGATTGGATTATTCGGAAGGACATTGTTCCCTGAGGGAGAATACTTTTCGGACCACTCACCTTCAACTAAAACACGGTAAGATTACATCAAGTATGAGACCATTATGAGAGGTCTCGGGTTTGTTTCGTATTGACCTCTTGTCATCTTTCGTGATAGAGGAGATGGTGTTGTCACGCAGGTGAAAGAATATTTGACTCATTGTACACAAGGGCGATTCAACTACTCTACTCAGTGTATCAACAGTGAGTACTTACTCATCAAAGGTCTTCATACACATCCTTGTAAGTTTCGATGTCGATTCGTTATATACAAGTATACCGAAAGGGTACTCGTTAGAAAAAGCCAAGTGACTGTTACTAGCGGACACCACCCTTCCAGAACGGACACAGCTCACGTTGGATGAAACAGTGGAAGGCATAAAAGCATGCATGAATCTCATCCACTTCGTTTTAAACACCGTGGTTTACACTCAATAACAAGGTCTACCAATGGGATCTCCAATACCCCCGGTTTTGGCAAATATGTTTATGGAAGAATCTGAACGTAGAGCTTTATCCGGATTGCCATACCCACTTAAGATATTCCGGCGTTATGTAGATGACACTTTCGTCGTGATGAAACGAGATAAGGTTAGTGAGTTTTACAACTATCTCAATGAACTGAGTCCAACAAATTTAGTATGGAGATAGAGTCAACCTCGGGTAGACTAGCCTTTTTAGACTACATGACACATAAGGTCGGGGGAAACTCAAGACCACAGTGTACGAGAAGCCAACGGACACTAGGGCAGTTTTGAACTACTCGTCTGCCCATCCGAAGTCCGTATTCGTCGGTATTGCCTCATCAATGTTTAAGCGTGTAACGGCCGTGTGCACAGAAGAAGTTGATGGGACAGCGGCCCAAAATGAAGTGAAGAAAGAACTTCGGGGCTGTGGCTATCCAGCTAGCTTGATTAGGCGTCAATTGCGAATGGTGTTAGTACCGGTAGTGAAACCCGACAGGGACTGGATCGGGACTGCTGTTATTCCACCAGAGACTTCGGAGGTCATTCGACGGATTCTAAACACGGCTAACATAAGAGAAGAGAAGAGAAGAGAAACATTGCTCTTTGCACTGGTGCGATTGAAGGATCGCCTCACGGCTAACAGAACAAAGCACTGTCTATAAAACTAAATATAACGACTGCACTAAGGTCTATATAGCACAGACGACCAAGGAATATTTCTCACCAGAATCAGAGAGCATGGAGGACAAATGAACAGGCCGCCGAAAAACCTGGATGAATATCAAGTGTTACTGAAAAGACTCGGCAATTGTGGAACAGACACTGGACACGGGCCACAAAATAGATTTAGAAAATGTTGAGGTTTGGAGGCGAGGACCACGATCCACTTCACACAGACTGATGGCCGAGGCGGTAGAAATCTTCAAGCATCCCAGTGTTAACAGAGTAGAAGGCGCTGAACTGGCAGGCCTTTCCGAAAGCAGTCTTGGATCAGTCGAGCTAACACATGTTGGTGAACGATTATCAGGAAGAGCAATCATCATCCGAATTCCGCTGAAACTTACCTACCTGCCCTCCCCAAACTAATTTGTCGCAACACTCACAAGCCCACGAAGACCAATGAAATCCACCAGTGGCATTCGCGGTGAATCATCCATTGAAGCACCTTGAAGTGGAAGATTAGGGAGTCGAAAATGATCGGAACTAATTTGAAATTCCTCCAACCCATCAACGAAACAATTTGGTAGCCACAGCAACCGAAAAGAGCTGTTAATTAACACTCAACACTGTTTAGCGTGATAATCTGATAATGTCTCACTGCTTGGTTCTCCGTCTGCCTTAAAACCTGGCTAACTTGGTGACCTACTCACTTGACCTGATGAAGTTTTGAGTCAGAAACGAAACGTGGCCCAATTAAAAACTCCCGATTATTCACCAAACCCTTCTGAACCGATAACTTCTCAGTCGGTTCCAAACTTTTCCAATTGGTTAAAAATATCCACATCTAACCTGCTCATAGGTCTAATTCATCACCACCTTATTTTGATCCTATCCCTAAAAACATACTTTAAGTTGAACCATCAGCTGAAAGGAAGGAGTTTTCGGGCAGATAACCTTGGTTCTCCGTCTGCCTTAAAACCTGGCTAACTTGGTGACCTACTCACTTGACCTGATGAAGTTTTGAGTCAGAAACGAAACGTGGCCCAATTAAAAACTCCCGATTATTCACCAAACCCTTCTGAACCGATAACTTCTCAGTCGGTTCCAAACTTTTCCAATTGGTTAAAAATATCCACATCTAACCTGCTCATAGGTCTAATTCATCACCACCTTATTTTGATCCTATCCCTAAAAACATACTTTAAGTTGAACCATCAGCTGAAAGGAAGGAGTTTTCGGGCAGATAACCTCGATTGACTGAAGGACCTGATGCCCCCCCCCCCACACACACACACACTCTTTTCGATTTCTTACGACCCTGGTCCTCCCGCATACTGCTGACACCTCAGCACTTATCTCAAATTCTGCTCCGACCTACGTTACTCTCTCGAGACCATCCACATTACATCTTGTTGGTTATCTTCGCTACTGCTCAGCAGCTAATGGAGGAAAAAAGTGTGATTAAAAAAGAAGGATATGCTTAAGTGGATAATCAAACTGGAAGTTAGCCGCCTCAATAAGATCTAAGTCAAGTCGGTTCTTGGCAGTGAAATTTTTCGGTGAAACATGGCGGGGCTTGAAGCAACTGCCTTGCCTCTTTCTCGACAAAATCAACCAGGAAATTGCAGACCAGTCAGAGCTGTTTACTGCAGTTATCACAATCAATAACTGTAATGGTACGAGTACCATAACATCGGAAGGTCTGTATCAAGCAAAATAAATTGGCTAAAATCAGACCAAGCTTTTGTTTCAATCACCAATCGCGCTTTCTGCTCTAAATGTGAGCTGACATGCTCACCAAATCAACGTCCATTCCCCTTCGCATGATACAACCCATAAATTTTAATAAAAAATACTACCGGTTAGAAACAAGAATCCAGACGAATTTCAGTTTAGTTTGAGTATCTATCATCAGTATCTAATTTGTTTATTACCTGCCTTTCCATGAACTCGAGATAGCTCAGTGGTGAAGACGCGAACTCAGTGATCGGAGGGTTCGTGGTTCGCACGACATCCCGGCATTTCGACCGCTTCTATCTAGGTCTGAGCAATCTGGCAGTATCATAGCACTTGTACTTCCTTCTGGTAGGACAGCAGCTAGGCACCGGAACGATGTTATATTTGAACGGGTTTATTACCATTATTATCATCACGTGATCACATTTGGTCGCTCAACATCCAACGTCTTTGGTAGAGGTTGACGTCCAGTTTTTATGCTGTACAACTGAGGGCCCTTTCTGTGCCCCTCAAATCCGTTTAAATGTTTTTTAGTGTTTCCACTATTCCCATTAATTGTATTGTTCCTCATTCCATTTTCTAAAGAGTGATAACTCTTGCTGCTAGTTTGATAACACACTCGTCCTGGTGGAAAATGGAATCTCAATGGAATCTCTCCTTGTAAGCATGCGTTTTAACATTCGTGCCAACCTCACCAACAAACACTTTCCAAAGATTTCGCGCATTTTGCTTACTGAGGCCACAACATGTAATAACTTCTAGTGTAAATTTGACTCGTCAACAAACGTACTTGTTTGAACACTTAATTGGCTCAGATTCCGATCGGTCCGGTGCTCTGTATGGCAATCTATTTGTGTAATATTTTCGTTGATGGGTACGCTAGGCGATGTTTTCAAACTGTATCGAAGTATTTTCATACCGATGTGCAATGTTAGGCTGAAGGTTCAACTTGAACCTCGTTTGATTTGATTTGACTTACTTGCTCAAATAGATGTTCGTTTGACGGATCGTCTTCTTCGTCATTATTTCCCAAATACTTCAGCCTGTCATTCGTCTCCGGACACTCGTCGGTTACCGCGGTTACTGTAGCTTATGTTGTGGTGAGTCTTTTTTGGAATTGTCAGGAGAAACACCATAGTCATATCGATTCGCGTTTAAACACTAACAACTCTGATCAATGTTATATCCACTAACTCAATACCCACTCGTTTTCCGAGTCTGAACGATGCTCTCGGTTACGCAAGTGTCTTGAACAAAGACGTCCTTATATATTTGTAACTGTGTGCGAAAAAGTGATAGACTAAAACGACCCCTCAGCAACCGATGCCTGCAATGAAGAACGTTACATCTGCACACAACTATGCTTGGTAACCTAGCATAGCTTCTGCATGTACAAAAAAGTCTTTCTGTTATCATGCCACATACTCGCACGATTCTGAAGAGTAGTGTTCCAAAACGCAATGACCTCTCAATAATGCATTCTCCTCTTAGGAGGGCATGTTAGCATACCAGAGGCTGATTCGTTCAGTACTGTTGCCCAACCGTTTATATTAGCAGTCACTTTTACTAAAGCTCTTTTTTGTAACTATGGGACATTTTGTACTAGAGTATAAGTCAAGTGTTGATCAGTGCGAATATTCAATCTGTGCTTATTTTATTTCGGTTTTGTCCAAATTTATTCCCTCAGCGAGTTCGCCATAAACAATCCGTTAGTAGGTAGTGTATAAAGCCATCAGATCAGCTAACGTTCTCCACATTTCTTGTTCCATTTTTAACGGTTGTTGATGCATATATATGCATCGACTGCAGTCGGTCTGCTTTCCTATAGCCAATGTTACGGAGCCAATAAACGTTCATAGTAGTACAGGAAGGATTTTATTATAGGATTTTTTTTGCACCGCTGAGCCTTGAAAGAACTGACTAAACCCGGCAAAAGTGAGGGGCCTCTGCTATGAGGTTAGCGTAAACTGAAAGTCCATTTTCTCGGTCTGTAAGAACCAGTAAAAAACTTATATTGCCTCTTCAGTCGTCGTTCTGTTGGAGGGTCGCCCGTGCCAGATCAGTGCTCATTCTTCTATTTCCGGAAACATCATATGAGAATCTGCGTACTCGGGATAATTAAATGCACTTAGATGAATGAATGGCACAACCCTCTTGAAGCCATAATGGAATTTGGGTATATCTCTTATATCCGGTATTTTCGTTCAAAGTATTTCCAAACCGATTATTTTCACAAATCTCCAAGGTCTATTTATTGTCATGAGAATAACAGTAAATCGTCGAAATTCCATCGATGCAGTTAACCTACTGCCGGAGAAAACTACAGGATTGGCTGAACTGCTAACTAGAAACCCTTGAACTATACCGTGGAGCGAGAAATTTCGGGCACTACAACCCACCATAGAAAAGGAGCTTTCAGTTCAACTACAGAGGTTTTATTTTCCCAAGCCTTATCCTACGGCAATGTCAATTTATTTGACCTATATCCATTGTCAGTTAAAGACACCACTTTGATATCTTTTATTGGCGTTCACACCACTCTACTTTGAACAGTTCTTGTTCTGGTGCAATTGTTCTGGTAAGTCCAACTCGAAGGAGGAAAAATTGAACTCGAGTTTCGCTCTTATGAGTGCTCATCAGAAGTTCATATCCCTCGCCGTTCCTTCGCTTGAAATCCATACGTCTGACATGCGGGGTGAGCGTGTAAACGGTACTCGACCCGTCCCAACAGGCGAACGTGTTCACACTTGAGTAATGTGGTTTGGTTGCAAGGATGAATAGATAACGGAAATTTTACCCTCGTTCAAATTCTCCTGTTCTTAAGACTAGAACGATTATCAACTGATTCATGCAGCGGATTGAGATGTCATTAGGAAAAAGTAGGCTAGGTAAGTAAGTAAGTTATCAGAGTTCTTACCGAGTGCGTGCTGAAAATGGCTTTCTTGAGCATCAAATGGGTGAGTATTTGAGTGGCCCACGGAGCTGGTTTTTTGTCCAACAAGTGTGAGCATCCAGGTCTCCAAGTATCGATTAACAAAAGGCGTTCTCAACTCAACCACATCGAATTCCTTACCACAACTTTCACTTGGTAATTTCAACAAGAAAAAAGAGTACGCCATAATTTGACATAAAGTTTGGAAATCCCAATTACTCTGATGTTTATTAAAGTGTACTTAACGCCTAATGCACAAACATCTATCGCAAGACAACACTCCAACAACTCGCAGCTATTGAAACTGTCCGACAAAAAGCCAATGACGCCACT